TAGATATGGTAGAGATGGGTTTCTCAACAGCACCCAGCCCTTTAACGCCTTTAAACACAAGCACTCGTCTTTAAACCTGAAAGCAAATCAGGAATAGTGTGTGTGAGATTTAAAACAACGCATAAAAAAGACCTGTAAAGTCATAGACCGTATTTGGAAGGATAAGCTGACCAGGTACTCGTCCGCTACGCTCACTGCTCACTTTAACTTCATTCACAAGTGTCCATTCTTTGAGACACGTCTCCTCCGACGCGTGTCCTCCATCCCGACTTTATTTTCGAGACGCTGCAGTGTTTAATCTCGGCCCCGGATGAACAGACCATACACTATTAATCCAGCGCATGTCAGAACCGCACCCACACTGGCTAATCCAGGTGAGGCCCAGGTGAAGGCGAGTTCGTGCGAGTGCGAGTCATACAGTATGGTTATTTTTAACTCCTCTGCTTCACGGAGGGAACAGGAATAGCAGCTCCGTCGTCTTCGGAGCTCATTGTCTAAATGTCAAAATCCCACGAACGAGGATTGTGTTTACACACCAGAACAGTCTGGCTCCAGCTGCTTGTCATATATCACACTGATGTGCACACACACACACACACACACACGCACACGCACACAGTACAGCCTTCAGGTTAATCATTTTCCCAGTGGTGGAAGCGTGCACGTGAACATGAACAGATGTGCGAGGGTCGCTCGGCGTGACGGTGACGTTACCTCCCCTGCTTGTTCATGCGGATGCAGCCCTCGATGATCTCCTTCAGTTCCGGGACTTTCACTTTGAAAAAACTGTCTGGCTTCATGCCCTGTGTGTGAGACAGAGAGGGGGAAGAAGAAGAAGAAGAAGAAGGAGAAGAAGGAGAAGAGAGTTAGGGAGTTCTAAACGAGTAAACGGACCCACGCTACCTGGCATCTGGGGGTTTCATTACTTTAATGCCGGATTTTAAATTCCTACTCATTCAGATCATTTCCAGTGCAAGTCCTTGTAATTAATCCAACCAAATCAGCTCAGGGAACCAGTGAGGAGCCTATCGTAGTGTACGAGGCGTGGTCAGAGTGCCTGTCAGCCAGTGACCTACTGCTTATTTCCTTTTATTTTTGGAAAAAAAAGGTTAAAAATGATATTTATAACAAATATCAATATAACCATCAAACTGTGAAGAAGCTCACTGTAATGTAGCTCTCTCTCTCATTCCCCCTCTCTCTCTCTCTCTCTCTCTCTCATTTCCCTCTCTCTCTCTCTCTCTCTCTCTCTCTCATTCCCCTCTCTCTCTCTCTCTCTCTCTCTCTCTCATTCCCCCTCTCTCTCTCTCTCTCTCTCTCTCTCTCTCCATTTCCCTCTCTCTCTCTCTCTCTCTCTCTCTCTCATTTTCCCCCTCTCTCTCTCTCTCTCTCTCATTCCCCTCTCTCTCTCTCTCTCTCTCTCTCTCATTCCCCTCTCTCTCTCTCTCTCTCTCTCTCTCATTCCCCTTCTCTCTCTCTCTCTCTCTCTCTCTCTCTCTCATTCCCCTTTTTTCTCTCTCTCTCTCTCTCTCTCTCTCATTCCCCCTCTCTCTCTCTCTCTCTCTCTCTCTCCTCCCCTCTCTCTCTCTCTCTCTCTCTCTCTCTCTCATTCCCCCTCTCTCTCTCTCTCTCTCTCTCATTCCCCTCTCTCTCTCTCTCTCTCTCATTCCCCTCTCTCTCTCTCTCTCTCTCTCATTCCCCTCTCTCTCTCTCTCTCTCTCATTTCCCCTCTCTCTCTCTCTCTCTCTCTCTCTCATTCCCCTTTTTTCTCTCTCTCTCTCTCTCTCTCTCATTTCCCCCTTTCTCTCTCTCTCTCTCTCTCTCTCTCATTCCCCTCTCTCTCTCTCTCTCTCTCATTCCCCCTCTCTCTCTCTCTCTCTCTCTCTCTCTCTCTCTCATTCCCCTCTCTCTCTCTCTCTCTCTCTCTCCCATTTCCCTTCTCTCTCTCTCTCTCTCTCGCTCTCTCTGTCTCTCTCTCTCATTCCCCCCTCTCTCTCATTCCCCCCTCTCTCTCTCTCATTCTCTCTCTCTCTCTCATTCTCTCTCTCTCTCTCTCTCTTATTCCCCCCCTCTCTCTCTCTCATTCCCCCCCTCTCTCTCTCTCTCTCTCTCATTCTCTCTCTCTCTCTCGTTCTCTCTCTCTCATTCTCTCTCTCTCTCTCTCTCTCTCTCTCATTCTCTCTCTCTCTCTCTCTCTCTCTCTCTCTCTCTCTCTCTCATTCTCTCTCTCCTGGATTTCTCTCTCGTTCTCTCTCTCTCTCTCTCTCTCATTCTCTCTCTCTGTCTCGCTTCTCTCTCTCTCATTCTCTCTCTGTCTCTCGTTCTCTCTCTCTCATTCTCTCTCGTTCTCTCTCTTGGTTGTCTCTCTCTCTCTCTCTCTCTCATTTCTCTCTCTCTCTCTCTTATTCCCCCCCCTCTCTCTCTCTCATTTCCCCCTCTCTCTCTCTCTCTCTCATTTCTCTCTCTCTCTCCGTTCTCTCTCTCTCATTCTCTCTCTCTCTCTCTCTCTCTCTCTCTTCTCTCTCTCTCTCTCTCTCTCCCTCTCTCTCTCTCTCTCTCTCATTCTCTCTCTCGTTCTCTGTCGTTCTCTCTCTCTCTCTCTCATTTCTCTCTCTCTGTCTCTGTTCTCTCTCTCTCATTCTCTCTCTCGTCTCTCGTTCTCTCTCTGCATTCTCTCTCTCCGTTCTCTCTCTCTTGTTGTCTCTCATTCTTCTCTCTCTCTCTCTCTCTCTCTCTCTCTCGCTCTCTCTGTCTCTCTCTCTCATTCTCTCTCTCTCATTTTCTCTCTCTCGCTCTCTCTTCGCTCTCTCTCTCTAACTCTCTCTGCGCTCTCTCTCTCGCTCTCTCTCGCTCTCTCTCTCATTCTCTCTCTCATTCTCTCTCTCTCTTGTTTCTCTCTCTCATTCTCTCTCTCATTCTCTCTCTCATTCTCTCTCTATCTCTTGCTCTCTCGTTCTCTCTCTCGTTCTCTCTCTCGTTCTCTCTCTCGTTCTCTCAGGTAAGTCATGTCGATTTACACTTATAGGATTTTTATTTGCAATCGAACTTAATAGCAGAGCAAAAAAAATCGAACTAGATCCCATTACATAAGGCCCTACGACCTCTGGTCTGTATACACTGAGCTACTGTATATCCTCTTTTTGTACACAGTGTAAAGTAATTAAGGCGGGGCGAACGCCCGATAAACAGGCCCTGAGCAGCTCAGTGGTTACGTCATGGTTGTGGAAGTCTGCGTGAGAAAACCGTGGGGATTGAAACAGCTCTAAATCAACGCGTGTAACGATGTTAGCTTTAAACCTGCTTCAAAACGTCTCTCTCATACACTCACCGCTGGACTGTTCATCCAGTATCGTATGATACCATCGTGTTGAAAGAAATCACACACACACACACAACTGTCTTCCAGTGGGTCTGCCTTTCTGTATATCTAATCTTTGGCTCTTAGACACACACACACACACACACACACACACACACACAGACCTTATTGTTATATCAACCAAACAAACAATAGCTATCACTTTGCTTGTCTGGTTATCTGTATATACAACCCTCTGTCTGTCTGTCCCATGTCTCTCTCTCACACACTCACTAAGTAATGAAGCTGTTTAGTCACATGATACAACAATCACACACACACACACACACCAGGGCACGTTGAATAACAGCGGCTCTGACAGTAGTGCAGCTTCAAATCTCAGGTTCATATTAATGCACTCGTCCCAGTTGGTTGTTCCTATAGAAACGGCTCGTTCCCAGCTCATGCACGAGGAGACGTTTATTTAACATTTAAGGAAGGAGTCTCCAGTGTCAGTGCTTTCAGAGGCAAAGCTGTAACTGTCAGTGTTCCAGCATCTTCCGGGCCGAATCGTTCACACGTTGTAGTTTCTCTGCGTTTTTTATTGAATGTTTTTGTCGTGATAACTTCAGGAGAGAGGGGAAAAAAAACGAGAGGCCGGTGAGGCAATGAGACGTTTTCTTAAACAGTTTACACTGTGAAAGAGTCCTCTCAGCATAATGCCCCAGTTTGAAGCATTAAATAAACACATTAGTGAAACACAAAGGTGGCAGAGATGCTTACAGACAGATACTTTGTGCAGGTTTTCCTTACAAGGACTATTCACACACTGAGCTGCAAATTTCTAAGGTACGCGCCAGGCATCTAGCGCAGGTGTGCTTTTTGTAGGATGGGAACGATTCATGTTGTGTCGACGTTCGTCGATGGACGAGGCAGAGGGGTGCCAATACTTTGCGCAGCGTAGCGTATGGGGTATAGTCAGTAGTTGAACACCTATAAAGTGACCTGTGCAGTGGGAGGACCTGATAAAACGAGCAGAAAATAGCGTGGACGTGATAGAGGACAGGCCTACCAACGCGTACGCCGATGACCTGTAGGTTCCACTGAACACCCTGCAGTTCTTTCATTCGGAGGTCAAAACACTGCATTTGCATGCTGAACATGTTTCCCCTCCCCCTCCCCTCCCCAACACACCACTTCATTACTCCATTAGTTCCTTCTGGATCTCCAGTTTCATCATTGCTGATCACAGAGATGAAGCTACACTGAATCCGTGGCGAGGCAGTTAACAGAATGTGAGGTTAAACAGTTACCCACATACCACTGATATCCCATGTGACTGCATGTTAACATAGCGTGACTGAACACACGGAGAGCGAGGACTCCTGAGGAATCGCTCCATTGGTTTTTCTTCAGCGGAGGACTTCGTTGCTCGAAACGACTCCGAGGAGTTTCCCTTGCAGACCACTCACAAGTAACCAAGGTACTAACCCGACACTTCACCCAGGAGAGGACAGGTTCCGTTCTGAATCCGGTTCCTTCCAAGGTTTCTGTCTGGTTTCCTTGGTACTCTCGGTCGTTCCCAATCTAAATCTAGGTCCGTATGTCTGTAACGCTGCTCTGTGGCGATGTCTACTAATGAAAGCGGTATACAGTTAAAGTGTTTCGGGCTCTTGACTGGACGCTCAAAATCTCAGCTACGGCCACGGTGGATTAGCGGTTAGCGTGTTTGCCTCAAACCTCCAGGGTTGGGGGTTCGATTCCCGCCTCCGCCTTTGCGTGCGTGGGGTTTGCATGTTCTCCCCGTGCTTCGGGGGTTTCCTCTGAGTACTCAGGTTTTCGCCACCAGTCCAAAGACATGCTTTATAGGCATCTCTAAATGATCCATTGTGTGTGAATGACTGTGTGTGTGGCACTTGGACTAGGTGTTGTGCCCTGGGATACAATCCAGGCTCCCCGCAACCCTGTGTAGAATAAGCGGTACAGAAACTGGATGGGTGGATGGGAAATCTCAGATACTTTGCTTATTTCTAAGAGTAGGACTGATCACGATTGCTAGTCCAGAACAGATTTCTTGTCCTTAAGGAGTGCAGGAATGATAGTATTCTTAGAGGAGTTCATACGTCATATATGGAAAGGGCCTGATGCAGACCTTTGTGCGAAGCATAAACAGAAAAGGGCTTAGAATAGAACCATGAGGGTCACCTGTGCACAAACGCAGGTATTTCCACTGTTTACTGTGTTTACAGACCGGAATAATGCACAGTCATGCCACTGAGTGGGGGAGGAATCTGTAAAAATGCAGATCTCGACCTTGCACAATGGTAGAAACTGCCACTTGTCTGTTTCCGTAAAAGATGTAAGACACGAGAAAGATATGCACAAGAACGTAGAATGATCTAGAAGAGATCAGCGGCTGGTGGTTACTGTACAGCCCTGTGTTCACGCACTGTCTACACTGATAGGTAACTGGTGTTAACGATATACTCGTCTAATGTTAGCTAAGGTGAGTAAACATCGATGGCTTTTTACTTCAAACGAACGCACTCGAAACATTCTCCCTGTACCGTGAGCGGAAGAGCGTACACGTCTGTCCAGCGAGTGAATCAAGATAAGATGAGAGATTACCAATGTGTGGTATGGAGAAGTGGGCGGGGCTTACCAGGGGGTTAATATGGGAGAGTTTAAAACTCCCACATGCCTGTCAATCGCTGTCATGTCAAGAGTTCCTGCGCAAAACGACACCAAAACGCCGGGCTAAAATCTCTCCATCAAGCATGAATATCGATACAGTCGAAGAAAGAGAAAAAACATTTGGAGCTCGTAATACTGCAAACATTGTTCTCAGTTGAGAACGTCGCTAAAGCAGCCAGAAACCTGACAAGCGGCGCTGGTTTTCACGCTTCAGCACTCCGCACCGCTGGAAAAACGGGACGCCGAAACGCAGTTAATGTCTCGAGTCGCCAGGATGGAAACGCCGAGCTCGAAGCTGTGTCAAATTTATGAGGTGGAAAGTTTGAGCTGGAGTGAGGGCCAGCTCGTCTCCAAAGCTATAGGGACTGCTCAGTTATCCACTTCTACTAATACGATTATTATTATTACTACGAGAAATTATTACCAGGAGATAAAACGGCGTGACGATCTGTCACCCATGTAATAAGCTTGCTATATATAAACGTCTGGAAGCTTCCAGAGCTCAGAAGTATCAAAGCCTCCAGCTATTTAAAAGGTATCACATCCCTTCTCCTGGATACAGGACAGGATGTTTCCGCAGGGACGACGGTCCCCAGAATGTCCCGCGCTTCCGAGAAGTGTAAGCGAGGGGTGTTTATGTAACCAGAGGACCGCCGCGCTGCTCGATCGGATAACGGGTAACTTTCGAACGTCTGAGAGCGGAGGCCGAGCGAAGAGGACTAAGAGCAGTCTTCTTCACGCTCTTGGGGTTTGAGGTTTACGTAGGAGTGCGTCGACGCCGCTGTTCTGCGAAGGCTGCTTTGTTGGACGCTCATGACATCAGAGCCCTGTGGCTCCAAACAGAGCCGGCCAGATTCATGCGTCCATTTTTTTTCTTTTTTCACTCTTCCTGCCGCCTCCGTCTTTTTTTCCCCCAGTTAATCACGTCATGCCGGGGCGTCTGGCGCAGGTTCAGAAAAGCAGCACAGCCAAACCCGAACCTCATTTCCCTAACGCTACTCAATGAGCTGCTTTTGTTTGTGGTGTGCAAAAAACAAACCTGAGCACGTTTCTCAGTAAAGCGGATTTGTCCGATCCTGCAGAAACGCTAAAGCACACGAGTACCGAGAATCTCCGGGAGTGTTCTCGACGATCTCGGTGATATATCAGCGGCACATCGGTTTGCCACCGCGTCTGGCGGTGGATCAGGAAGATCAGGAATAATACGCAGACTAGACGAACAACAACGCACAAGCACGAGTCAGGAATACACTGAGTAACGGAGCGAAAACAAGAAACAGGTGCACACGTTAGGCAACGGACCAATAAGGGACAGGGGCGGAGCCAGAACCAGAAAGCGAAAGTGACAGTGAATTGACTGGAAATGAGAGCGGGGGATTCTGGGGGATATGTGACGCATTCCGAGACAAGCCGACGCCCCGATACTTCACGACGACGACCTGATGATGGCGTGATAGTAAACAAGCCGACATAACGGTTTTACGTCGTTTTTATTTGAGGTCATTCATGCACTAAAACACGAAGGTGAGCAAGACGTGGGCGGTACCGTTTCTGTTGGTTACTGTGGTAACAAGCAATGATTGGGTAAGGAGGTCTGCACCGGCGTTCGTCAAAAAGTAATCACTCATAACGAATAACGAAAACATTCCCCTCAGGAATTCGGGCCTGTAAATACTTCACGTTTCTGACATCAGGAAAAGGTCCATGTCCTCTGGGACGAGAAGATAAAGGACCGAAACACAGCTGCGGTGTCCGTTCAGGAGATGAAAGCTGCAGACAGTCGCCATGGAAATCACGCCATGACCTTTTCGACTTGGCACGTCTGAATGAGGAGCTTCTGTCCGTGCTGGTGGAGAAATCCATCAAAGCCTGGACTGATGTGATTTTGGAGGGGAGGAAAATACGTTCCGGTCTTTAGATCTCATTACCATCAGAGCGTGCGCCATGTTTACGGCGTCATGTTTACGCGTCATGTTTACGGCGTTTAAATGCAGAAGAAGAACCTCAGAAGCACATGATGCGTGGATGGATAATCAGCGGATAAACAAGCATGTGAAATAAACCAGAGGCTTGTGTTTAACCGTCGTGTACGTGACGCCGAATCTGTGTGTGCGGAGCTGAAAGGCGGAGTTTTTAAGGTTGACAACAAAATGGTGCAGAACGTCGTGGTGCGAAAATACAACCGGGAACAATCCGGATCCAGATGATGGTCTGGGGTTAGTCTGGGGGAAAAGTGTGAAGAAAAACCTATGACTGAAAATAACAGACGTTCTGTCTCTCTCTCTCTCTCTCTCTCTCTCTCTCTCTCTCTCTCTCTCTTTCTCTCTCTCACACTCTCTCTGACAATCCCTCTCTCTCTCTCTCTCTCTCTCTCTCTCTTTCTCTCTGTCTCTCTCACTCTCTTTCTCTCTCTCACACTCTCTGACAATCCCTCTCTCTCTCTCTCTCTCTCTTTCTCTCTCACTCTCTTTCTCTCTCAACTCTCTCTGACAATCCTCTCTCTCTCTCTCACTCTCTCTCTCTCTCTAATCTCTTTTCTCTCTCTCACACTCTCTGACAATCCTTTTTCTCTCTCTCTCTCTCTCTCTGACTCTCTTTCTCTCTCTCACACTCTCTCTGACAATCCCTCTGTCTCACTCTCTCTCTCTCTGACAATCTCTCTCACTCTCTCTCTCTTTGACAATCCCTCTCTCTCTCTCTCTCTCTCTCTCTCTCTGTCTCTCTCACTCTCTTTCTCTCTCACACTCTCTCTGACAATCCCTCTCTCTCTTTCTCTCTCTCTCTCTCTTGGACAATCCCTCTCTCACTCTCTCTCTCACTCACTCTCTCTGACAATCCCTCCCTCTATCTCTACTCCCATCTATCTTTATCTTCCTCTCTTTTTTATGTCGCTCTCACTCTATCTCTCTATCTTTGTCTTTTTCAATCTCTCTCTCTATCTCTCCCTCTCTTCCTGTCTATCTTTATCTTCCTCTCTCTTTTTCTGTCTATCTCTCTGTCTTTGTCTTTTTTCTGTCTCTCTCTCCCCCCACGGCATTCTCTCTCTCCCTCTCTCTCTTTCTCTGTTTCTGTCTATCTTTATGTTCCTACTCTTTTTCTGTCTGTTTTTGTCTCTCTCTCTCTTTCCGCAATCTCTGCCAATCTGTATCTCTCTCTGTAAATCTGTCTCCTCCTCCCTCTCTTTCTGTCTCTCCCCTTCTTTCCCTCTCTGACAATCTCTCTCTCTCTCTCTCTCTCTCTCTCAATCTGTCTCTCTGTTTTGCTCTTAAACTCACCCCCACAATTGCACAGTCTAATGCAACAAGGTGTAATAATAGTCATATTTCACCATAAACACCCCCCACCACACACACACACACACAAACACACTCACACACACTCACAACACCACACACACTCACACACACACACCCTCTGGAGAGAACCGCCACAGCCGTGCCTATACAAGACCCTGAAATCTCATTGCGTGTTCTCTGCTTAATTAGCATTAGCGTTCTCACAGTGCTAATGCTACATCAGGGAGAGCTCTACACAACCATCTGGAATTGGCTTCGTCCCAAAAAGCGCTTCAGAACACGATTTAACTGCGTGAGGCGAGCGAACCCAAACCGAATCGGCGTGCCGCAATTACGCTAATTGTAAATGTTTTTTGCGTAAGCGGGGCGAGCGAGAGCGGCTGGGGAAAAAAAACATGTTTTTTTTAAAACACACACTAACTGACGCAAATGAAACGAAGAGATCGTTTTATAAAAGGGGGTTCTGCTGGTTTGGAGCGCACTTTATCAGCCGAACGTCCGAACCCCGACCAAGCCGCTGACGCTGGAGACTCCTTCCAGAGGAGGAGTCTGTACACGTCCCCCGTGAGCGACACGTCTCCTGTTACTATAGAAACGATGACGTGTCAGGACGAGCGCGCTACGTCGGAGCTGCTGTGACCGGATGACGCCGTCAGTCTGACCTGCCGTGTTACTTCCTGTTTCAGGTTTTACAACGCCGTTGAAAGACGCTGATTCGCCGTCTAGATATAAACAGCAAACAGAAGGGATGGAAAACCTGCGCAATCACTCCGCTGCTCAGGAGA